GACCCACAGTAAAATTTGGGTAAATTAAAATATGCTATAGTTAAAAATAACAGAATATCATTTCAATTTAATTAATTTGTGATAATTTGTGAGACAAACATATTTGATAAAGTTTCACTTTTTCTAACTATTGATTCTTCATAGCTAGTATTTTTACATCATTTTTGCAACTGATAAATCTTCAGTTCAGTTCAGTTCAGTTGCTCAGTCGTGTCCAACTTTGCGACCCCATGAATTGTATTAGTACTGAGTAATTATCAACAGTTTTTTACATTCCCTGTTTTTATATATGTTATTCTGGTTTAATTTTAGTTTCATTTTCACAAAATAAAGTGACCTGTCATCTGTGCCATATGTGGTCATTATTCTCTTCTTATCCATAAATATGTAAAATAGGCACAATTATTTGAGTTAGGGTATTTGCTGCCACTTTAGGTTTTTAAAGCTCTTAATGTGTCAAGCCAACGTTTACCTTCACTTTATCAATGAAGTTTAAAAAATCTTAATATTATATATACAATTATTTTCCCAAGTATTTCACATTAATTAACTTTATGTGTATATATGTTAGTGTGTGGATATGTTTCTTTAAACATACTGCTACATTTCAATGAACTAACAGATTTCTTTTTTTTTTTTTCGATGCAAAAACAGTGAGGAACTTTATTACAAGCTCGAGCAGGGACTCTGTTCACACAATGGTGAAGGAGCCCCGAGTGAAAGCGGCGAATCTTTTTTATACTGTATAGCAGGGGAAGCTGGAAGGGAAGCTTAAGGGGATTGGTTAATTCTTCAACTAAGGATGTCTTGTTAGCTACTGATTGGTGGGTTAGAGTAAGGGGGGGGTGAGGGACTTTCCTGTCCTCCCCTGATTGGCTCGTTGAGTTTCTTTCTCTCCTCGGGAGGGGGTTTTACTCAAAATGGCGGTGCTATCCTAAAATGGAGTCGTTTGGGTTTCACATTTCACATTTCCCCCTCTTCTAGTTCCTATGGAAGGCCCAATCATGGCTCTTTTACAGAGTCAACTATATCATCTGTGGAGACAGTCGAATATTGAGATCTGAGTAACATTAGGTGGACGGTATTAAATCTATCTTTTACAAAGGACATAATTCTATTTAATATACGGGGACCTACAGTTAAGATTAATTTCCGGGTTGTCTTTGGCCAATCAATCTAATTCAGAGTCTTTCCTGGTGGCGCACGCATCACTCAGCCAAGATGGATGCTAGCAAGAGGGATTCTGGGAAGTGGACAGACAGGCAGTGTCTCCTCTCGACCTTTCTCGAACTCTTCCGGCTGGTGGTGGCTTATTAGTTCCATATTCCTTATCAGGATCTCCTGTTATAAAACAACTCATGCAAATGGTTACTATGGTGCCTGGCCAGGGTGGGCGGTTTCAGTCAGTGTGCTTCCCCTAACAGAATGATCATTGAAATATCAAGGACTCTAG